GTGGTTTGATCCTCCAAATGTACTAGCTCCACTGCAAATAATTTCGGCCATTAAACAATTAGACACCCACCACATTTGGAAGATCATTAGGATCCAAAGATAGATTTGACCTCAAACTGTTGGTCTTATGAGCCGAAGTTGGGAGTTTGCCATTGTTGTGATTGCCTATACACCTTTTTGTCCCACCATTGACCTCAAAGGTTTGTAGTGCACAACGACAGTGATAGTGGCAGCAGAAACTAAGCTTTCAAAATTAAGAGTCGTGATACTAATCTGAATTATGTAAGGAAATACACATAATTTACATTTTATTGATAACAACCACATAATTTTCATTCTCACCAACTCTATTTGTAATAATCAACTTCTTCAAAATAAGGAAATAAAAATATACTAAAATGATAGGAAATTTTTTAAGATATTGTTAATATTGAGGATACTTTCATCCTAATAATCAACCTTATATAAATAGGACCCTTGTGTTAGTATTCGTATCACCATTACACCTTATCAGTATATAATACTGCTATAGTATTCTTTCTCCTTTCCTCTTCTACATGAAACGTTTAGTTCCAACAACTAAACCTTTGTTGATCCTAAGATGATAATAGGTCGAATTGGAATAGATACTTTCTACTCATTATCCAATCCGTAACAAAATAATTCATCAGTTACCTATTGTGTTACTTATTGGATACTTATTTAAAAATATTCGTGAGTATTTTAAAAGCGTTGATATCCATAAATACTTCCTAATATTTAAGAAAAAATATTTTATAAATTTTTAAAATAAAATATAAATAAAATTATAAAATAATATATATGATATAATATAAATTATAATTAAATTTAATTTAATAAAATATAAATTAATTTTAATTTTAATTAAATTTAACTTAATAAAATATAAATTAAATTTTAATCTTAATTTTAATTTTAATACTTGCGGTACAGATAGTATTATATCACACCCTATCTGACAGATATTAAAATATTTGTAGATAATAAATATGTGCATATACTATTTATTCCTCACAGATTTTATCAATAAATACCTATAGATATGAATACTTTTGTCAACTATTAATGAGTTTTTTTTAATTATGAATATTGTTGGAAGTTACCCCATTGATGAAATGAATATACAACAAAGCTGGTTATACCTGTAGTGGAAATACGGATTTTATCAATAAATACCTATGGATATGAATGTTTTTGTCAACTATTAATGATTTTTTTTAATTATGAATATTGTTGGAAGTTACCCATTGATGAAATGAATATACAACAAAGCTGGTTATACCTGTAGTGGAAATACGGATTATTTTTAGGTTGCCTCTGCGTACTGCAGTTTTCTTTTCATTTTGATATATTCAAATTGTTTATTAAAATTAACTATTCTGTTCTTATTAATGTTTTTCAGAACAGGAAAGTTCCTCAGTTTCAAGCGCAGCAATTTGTAATCATTGAAGTATGACGTAGCCTATTTTGATTGGAGAGCATTTTTGTTTCAGGGTCTTTCATTTTGTTGTTAGTAATGCTTTACAGTGTATTAGTATCTTTCCCTTGTTATTGTGAATACTTCTAATTTGTCTAATATGACCGAAACCTGGCCGACTGAGGCTCGTTATCAGCTGTAACTTGAATACCTGTCCCACCTGGGGAATTCATCCTGACATGTTGCTTTGAGAGAAAAATCTATAACTGACATTTTTATTTTGCATACTTCAAAGTTCGGAGCAGCTTTCTCTCGATAAATTGTGACCGCTCTTCAGGATCTTGTATAACGTCTACAACAACATTTGTAAGCTGTTTTGTGCTGTTTAGTTTCTGACATTTGCTTAATATAGTAATGGCAATGAATATACCTGAATTTTCTTATTGTTCAAAAGTTATCTTTAAACTTATTTAATTTGTATATTGTTAAATACGTATTTCCATTGGCATTAGTCTCTATTTATGTTGACTGTTTTGGAATGGGTCGGTTGAGTATGGTCAATGTCCATATAGTTGTCCTGCGTTGTTTGTAATTAGATGATATTTTCAAAAGATATTCTAATATTAAAATCAGTAAGTGTCTAATTAGAAAGAATATTAAATGCAGTGATAAGATTACTAAGTACAGTTATGTATGTGTGTGGATGATTATACTTTAAATTTTTATTTATAGTTGTTATAAATTTTTAATTTTGTTTTTGGTTTAATCATAGTTTAATTATATCTTAATTAATATTAATATTAGTAGGTTGATTTATGATTATTGTTGGCTAAGTATTAATATGACTTTTATTTTGTAATCTATAAATCTTGTCATTTGATGAGGATGATCAATTAAGACTGATCAACCAAAAGGTGATCGACTAAAAATAATCAATTGGAAGGTTATCATTCCAAGGTGAGATCTGTTTAGTCTGTTCATCAATAAGCCTGACTTATTAACTACTAAAAGGGAATTTAGCATACATTAACCAATAAATTAAGGGATGCTTGAAATCAAGATGTGATATACTATTCGGCTTCTGTTTCTACACTCATAATGTTTAAAATGATTATTCTATTCTTTTGTGGTCCGGATTTGTTTTAATGTGTTTTGGAAAATGAATTCGGAATGACAGGGTATTGGGATATAGGGCACGAAGTAATAGCCTTTATTTTAAGGTTTAATTGCTTGCATTGTCCCTAGTTTGGCTGCAACGTGTTAAAGTAGTCCATCCTTTTAAAAAAATTTCAATTACGTACAAACTTGGTTTAAAAGTGTCAATTTCGTCCAAACGTATGTAAAATTTGCTTCAATCAAGTCCCTTCCGTTAAATTCACCAAAACGGACGTTAATTTTTTAGTTCTCTCTCCTCTGCTCCTCTGTTTCTCTGCTCTGCTCCTCTGGACATTCTCTGCTTCTGCACAGAGTAATAATTAGGAAACCATAATGTAGTTTTCTCAAAATAATCAAGAAATATTACGCCAAATAAATCAAAAAAAAGAAACATATGTCGCAACATTTTAAATGGTGTCAATATAATTTATTTTATAATTAAACTGAAAATAGTTTTTATATTACACAAATATTTTTAATCAATTAAACTTTTTAAAAAATAAATAAACTTATATATATATATATATATATATATATCAAATTTTAATTGAGAAAAAAATCTCTAATCATAAAAAAAGGACATACTTTCAGCATATAGTTATTTTAATAATTTTTATTTTTAATATTAATTTAAATTTTCATAATCAAAGGATCGAATTAATCTTGCCGAGCTGATACTGTGTATCGAGTTATTTTAATTCGGTGCATCTTCTTATTTTCGTTTTTTTTTTTTCATTTTTATGATATATATTCTCTTTGCATTTATTTTATTTTGTACTCAACCACTTCAAAATTAAAAAATAATAGTGGAAAAAGTGCACTGAACACCTTAATAATTCTTAATTTTAATTATAAAAAATAATATAGAATTATTGAAAATTAAGATTTTGAGTCATAAAATTTGAAAATAATAAAGAAAATTCATGTTAAAAGTTTATAATAATAGAAAAATTAAAATGATTCGAAAATAATTAAAGATTTTGAGTCACAACGTACCACTTTTAAAGAAAAAATTCTTTCACTATATTTAAATCTCACAATTAATGAACCTATACTTTAAGTTTGTTGGATAGCTTTTACTAAACATATTTTTTATTTATTTCAAACAACTACCTTCTAACAAAATTTAGAAAAGGGACAGAATTCCTTAAGAGGTGGATTTGGGATTCCTAAAATGTAGTTATGAATCTATTTTGATATTGGTAATAAATATTAAAAATCTCGTAACTCTTTAAGTAGCTTCCAACCCAAAACAAGGTTATGAGATCAGATCCTGAATCAAAATTTAGGAGCTAAACCTTAAAATAAATGAAACATGTAGAAAATGAGTTAAGAATGGAAACAAAGTCCACAATCATTACTCTGTGCAGAAGCAGAGAATGTCCAGAGGAGCAGAGCAGAGAAGCAGAGAAGCAGAGGAGCAGAGCAGAGAGAACTAAAAAATTAACGTCCGTTTTGGTGAATTTAACGGAAGGGACTTGATTGAAGCAAATTTTACATACGTTTGGACGAAATTGACACTTTTAAACCAAGTTTTGTACGTAATTGAAATTTTTTTAAAAGGATGGACTACTTTGACACGTTGCAGCCAAACTAGGGACAATGCAAGCAATTAAACCTTATTTTAATGATGTCACTTTCTTCTGTCAGTTTTCTTGCTTTCTAGTGTTTTCTCTACTGCATTGCAAGTTTGTACTTCATTGTTACAAGTACAAGAATTTAAGTGTTACTTCCTCCACGGGTTTGCTCCTTGTATTTTTCTATCTTTTTTTATTCCTAAAACTGATTTTCTTTAAATATTTTTTTTATTTTCACCTATTTTAACCTAATATTATTGATGTTTGTTATTTCAGTTAAGTTTCAGTTAAGATTACTACTTTGTATTAGTAATCAGTACTGTTGATGTTTGTTATTTCAGTTAAGTTTCAGTTAAGTTTCAGTTAAGTTTCAGTTAAGATTACTACTTTGCATTAGTAATCGGTTAGGTTAATTGTTTTCTCTTTTTTTTCCTTTTTCCCTAACATATTTAAAGTTAGGGTTTTTCTCCTTTCTGATTATAACATACAGTATTTTACATCATTACAAAGAATAAAAAAAAGTTTATGTTTTTCTTATCTTTTGATGAAGCCTTTGTGCAGATCTTCTTTGCTTCTTCTCCCAACAGCCATGGTTGTATGCTCCCAATGAGCTATGCATCTCTTTTCTCTATAACTTCTAGAAGAGCCTCGATCTCTTTCTCTCTCTTTCGCATGGATGAAGACTGCCTCTTTGGCAGAAGTCTTCTCAAGAGATATTTTATCTCTTATGAGTCCTTAACAAAGTGGGTTTTTGTTTTAAAGGCTATTGGACCTTATTATACAATATGGTATCAGAAGTACAACACATTTATTGATCGTTTCTTGACAAGATGGACACCCCAGATCCCACCACTCAACCTTCAAGCCTGTTTTATCTTCATCTTGGAGAAAATCCAGGTACTACTCTTATTTCCCAAATTCTCAATGAAACTAACTACTCATCTTGGAGCAGGAATTTAAAAAGGGCTCTTCTCTCCAAAAACAAGATCAAATTCATTGATGGCAGTATCAAGAAGACACCAAGAAATGATACTTTGTTTGATGCTTGGGAAAGATGTGACACCATGGTTTTATCTTGGATCATCAAGACCCTTTCACCCCAGATTACAGATAGTGTCATCTATGTTGACAATGCAAAGATTTGTGGGAAGAAATTAAAGAAATATTTTCTAAAGGAGACTATTTTAAGATTTCAGATTTATTATAGGATATACATTTCATTAAACAGGGAGAGTGAAATGTTAGCCAATATTTCACTGACTTGAAAATTCTATGGGAAGAATTAGAATTCCTTAGACTCATACCCTACTGCAGTTGCCAAATTCCTTGTACTTGTGATATGTCCAGAGTTACTCTCAAGTATAGAGAAGTGGAGCACGTCATATGCTTCCGGAAGGGTTTAAATGACACTTACCAAACTGTTAGAACCCAAATCCTCTTGATGGAGCCTCTGCCCAACATCAACAAAGTTTTTTCTCTCCTCATGCAGCAAGAACATAAGGAAAGACCACATCCTAGAGTTGTTCCTCAAACTGAGACCTTTAAGATCCTGGCTAGCACTACTAACAAAGCCACTTGGAAGCCTCAAGGACGTGGCACTAGCTCACGTGGCCAAGGTAGAGGAAGAGGGAGAAATCCCAATTATGGGAAACAATGTTCCCGTTGTCACAAGATGAATCATACAGTTGATGAGTGTTATTTCAAACATGGTTACCTACCATGGTACAAGAAAATTGACAACAACAACACTCAAGACATGGAAGGACAAAATGAGTGGAGTTTTGCTAATGTCTGCAATGATGATTTTACCTCTACCCAGACACAGAATGTTCAACAGGGACATAACAATAATCCTATGTAATCTTTTACCCTTGAACAAATGTAGAAACTATTAAAAATGATAGAAGGTATTGACAATTCCTCACACAATGTTAGCCAAGTGCAAAGAAACACTCTTGGAGACAACCCAGGTAATTTTTCATGGATTATAGACACTAGGGCCACTGATCACGTGACCTATGAAAGAAAACATTTTATTACCTTTCATAAAATTAAACCCATATCTTTTAGGCTTCCAAACAACTCTATAGTTACTGCCCAACATGTTGGAACCATTCAGTTTTCAAAGAACTTCATGATCTTTAATGTTCTCTATATTCCAGAATTTTCTTTTAACTTAATATTTGTTCAAAGTCTAACTAGGGACTTGAATTGCACTTTAACATTTTCTTCTAAGACTTGTCAGATACAAGACAACTCTACATTGAAGATGATTGAGCATGCTAATGTTTACAAAGGCCTTTACTATCTACAATCTTTCCCTCTTTTTAGTCAGGAATATGTTTCTAAATTTGTATTTTCTTGTAAACAAGCTAATGATAATTTGTGGCATTACAAACTGGGTCACCCTGGCCACAAAATCATAGAAAAAATTTGTAAGAATTTTCCTTATGTTCAAATGCCATCCAAAACTGTTTGTGACATTTGTCATTATGCTAAACAACATTAACTTCCTTTTTCTAAAAGCATTACTGCTTCTACTAACTGTTTTAAATTGATACATTATGATATATGGGGTCCTATCTCTCTCCCTTCTATTCATGGGCATAAGTACTTTCTTACAATTGTTGATTATTACAGTAGACACACTTGGGCTTTCTTGATGCACAATAAAGGTCAAACTAGGGAACTTTTGCAGAATTTTATTCTAAAGATTAAAAATCAATTTGGAAAAATTGTTAAGTATTAGATCTGACAATGGTCCTGAATTTACTTGTGTTGCTATGTATGATTCCTATGGTATTGAACATAAAAAAAGGTGTGTTGAGACTCCCCAACAAAATTCTATTGTTGAACGTAAACACTAACATATTCTAGATAAAACTCGTAGTCTCCTTTTTCAATCTAATATACCTACTCCTATTGGTCTTATGCTATATCTCATGCCATTTATGTGATAAATAAATTACCCACATCCGCTCTAAATGGTAAGACTCCTTATGATTTAATATATGACAATCCTCCCACCTATGTGAATTTAAAAACCTTTAGCTACCTATGTTTTGCTTCCACTTTAGAGCACAACAGACATAAACTCGATTCTAGAGCCGGGAAAGGTGTTTTCTTAGGTTATAAAAATGGTGTTAAAGGATATGTTATACTGGATGTTAGTACTAGGGAGATATTTTTAAGCAAAAATGTTATTTTTTATGAAAATATTTTCCCCTACAAGGATGCACAAGGTAATGAGACCAACCATGATGAGAAAGAGATTGACAATATTTTACCTAATGTTTTTTGGTATGGTCAAAACTGTGATGAAGTTCAAAATTTTTGGGAGAATGGAGGTACGGAACAGAGGTATGATAACAATGAAGACACTATCATTGACATTGGTATTGATCACACTAATGATATAGAAGATCACAATTCCAGAAAATCTACTAGAGTTAAAAGGGTCCCTAGATATCTAAATGACTACATACACCAGGTTAATCATTCCTCATCTAGTTATCTTCACGCAAAAAATAGCTCCAAGCCTCCCTATCCTATTTTCAATGTTTTGTCTTATAACTTTTTATCGAAAAAACACCTAAAATACACTTTGGCCATATCTGCCAAAAATGAGCCCAAATCCTATAATGAGGCAAAAGAAAACAACGAATGGGTCACTGCCATGCAAAGAGAACTAAAAGTCTTACACGACAATGACACTTGGTACTTAACTTCTTCCTAGAAAAAATTCCATTGGTTGCAAATGGGTGTACAAGATCAAGCACAAAGTTGATGCACCATAGAGAGGTAAAGCTCGTTTAGTTGCTAAGGGTTATACACAACAAGAAGGTATAGACTTTTTGGACACTTTTTCCCCTATGGCTAAACTAACCACTGTCAAAGTCCTTCTTACTATTGTTGCCTCAAGAAATTGGCATCTACATCAAGTGGATGTTGATAACACCTTTCTGCATGGAGACCTAAATGAAGAGGTATATAGGGAGCCACCACCAGGACTGAACATTCATACAAAAGGTCAGGTTTGTAGGCTAACTAAATCCTTATATGGGCTGAAGCAGGCCAACAGACAATGGTTTGATAAACTATCATCCTTTCTTCTCTATGTTTACATTCAATCTAAATCTGATCATTCTCTTTTTATTTAGAAAATATCCACAAATTTCACTACTCTCCTTATGTATGTAAATGATATTATTCTGGCAGGAGACTCTATCACTGAAATAGAACACATTAAAGGTGTTCTTCACCATGCCTTTCAAATCAAAAACCTAGGGGAGCTGAAATACTTTTTAGGCTTTGAAGTAGCCAGATCTAAGAAGGGGATACACCTATGTTAGAGGAAATATGCACTGGACATTCTTGAAGAGACATGAATGCTAGGATGCAAGCCCTGCACTACCCCCTTTCTAAGTGACACTAGCTCCTTGTATAAGATAGAGAATTACTTGGCCAATCCCAACTCCTATCGCAGACTTATAGGGAAGTTGCTTTATCTCACTAATACTAGACCTGATCTATGTTTTCCTGTTAATCTTCTCAGTCAATTTGTTCAAGCTCCTACTGATTATCACTATCGGGCTTTGCAGCATATGCTAAGATACACTAAATCCAGCCCTTCACAAGGCCTTTTCTTTGCTGCTAATTCCCATATCCAAATAAAGGCATTTAGTGACTCGGAGTAGGAAACTTGTCCTAACACTAGGAGATCCAATATTGGATTTTGTATCTTCCTTGGATCCTCTCTTATATCATGGAAGACTAAGAAACAAAATACTATGTCCAGGTCTTCTACCGAAGTAGCCGTGACCTTGTTGCCACAGTTTGTGAGATTTAATGGATCCACTATCTCCTACAAGATCTTAGTGTTGAGACCACTACTACTGCTGCGCTTTATTGTCACAATAAGTCTACTAGACATATTGCTCACAATCAAAGCTTTCACGAAAGAACTAAACACATTGAACTCTACTGTCATGTTGTTCTCGAGAAGATTCAAGCGAATCTCCTTCGTTTCCTACCTATTCGCTCCAACGAGCAACTCGCTAACATCTTCACAAAGCTCCCTCACCGCGTGCGCTTCCAGTTTATCGTTCCTAAGCTTGGATTGATCAACATACGCAATCCAGCTTAAAGGGAGGATGTTGATGTTTGTTATTTCAGTTAAGTTTCAATTAGGATTACTACTTTATAGTAGTAATCGGTTAGGTTAGTTGTTTTCCCTTTTTTTCCTAACCTATTTAAGGTTAGGGTTTTCCCTATTTCTGATTGTAACATACAATATTCTACATCATTATAAGAATAAAGAAAGTTTGTGTTTTTCTTACCTTTTGATGAAGCCCTTGTGCATATCTTCTTTTCTTCTTCTCCCAACAGCCATGGCTTATGCTCCCAATGAGCTCTGCATCTCTTCTCTCTCTAACTTCCAGAAGAGCCTCGAGTTCTTTCTCTCTCTTTCACATGGACGAAGACTGCCTCTCTGACAGAAGTCTTCTCAAGAGATATTTTATCTCTTACGAGCCCTCAACGAAGTGGGTTTTTGTTTTAAAGGCTATTGGGCCTTATTATACAATAAAAACCCTAATCTAATCCTAATCCTATTAGGCCTTTCCCTCTCTTCTTCTTCTTCTCTTAATCATAGTTATCAAACTCGCAAGTTAACTCATTAACTCGAACGAGTTTGCGTTCCTAGTTCTGGCTTCCAAGTTAACTTAGAAGCAAACTCAGTTTTCGAGTAAACCCGGTGAAATCGGTTCTAAACTCGGTGGGATCGGTTAGAATCGCGATTTTGCAGCGATTTTACGAGTTTGAAATAGGAAGAAATGAAGAAAAAGGAAGCCTTCGCTGTCGTTCGTGGTCGCACTTCATTGGTTCGCCTTTGCATTCGTCGTTCACCTGGATCGTGCTCCCGCTCATCGTTCGCTATTCACCTAGTTCGTGCTCACCGTTCGCCTGGCTTGTGGTCGCGCTCCCTTCGCCTGGTTCGCACTGGCCATCGTGCTCGCCGCTCGCCTGGCTCGTGGTCGTGCTCTGTTCGCTTGGTTCTCGCTCACCGTCATGCTTGTTGCTGCCACTCTTGATCTCACCTCCTTCAAGCTCTACATGTGGAGTGAAGCTTTTTTATTTTAACCTTACAACCCCTAAATGACATTGTTTGTGCTTTTACTAAAGAAATTAAATTAGTAAGGTTTTAAACCCATCTATTGTGCATTTCTATCTTCTTTAGTTATTATGTTTTTTATTTTAGCATGTAAATATTTAATATTAAAGAAAAGCTAACTCTTGTGTCACTTATTATTTTGGATCATTGGGTCTTCTTCTACTACACTAAATTTTTGGGCCAATTTTAATTTCAACTATACTAAACTTTTGAACCAATATTAATTTCAGCAACTTGTTTTCTTAACTGACGTGTCAACTATATTCAATTAAAATTATGACATAAGAATATTAATATTAAAGAAAAATATTTAAATATATATAATATGATAAACTAATAATTACAATAATACTATAAAAAAAAATAAAACATTATTTATAAAATAATAAATATTAAATTATTCTATTAATTTATAAATATTTTAAAATATTTTTACACGAAGTAAACTCTTACGAGTTTACGATCCGAGTTTACGAAGCTTTCACGAGTTTACGTAAACTCTCGAGTTTGACAACCTTGCTCTTAATACTTCTTTTATTTGTGATTTTTGTTTCCTCCATTTTCGATGTTTCCATTGTCACTGAGTGTGGTTTGTGGTTGATTTTGTTCCAAAAATGTTTGTATCCGTGCGCTGTTGTTTGAAAAACGTAGAAGAAGCCAAACGTAAAGGCATGAACGAATATGGGAGATCCGTTCGGCCTTCAACGAATCTTGATTTTCGTTGACGGATGTCAAGATCCGTTGAAGGCCAAATAGATATCTCATGTCCGTTGATCTGCAGGACTAGGAATGAAGAGTTACATGAAGCAACATGTGGGGTTGTGGTGGAGGGAGTAACCCTCTCATAATTTTGGCAGTTTCCTTGTAATATAAAGTTGGTTAACCTTTGGTAGGTACAAAAGGCATGAATGAATAAAAAATGTACTTTTTTTTTATGGTTTCCACTTAGGTTTTCAAATCACCCAATCTGAAAATGAACTTTGTGGAACACAATCTAAAATGCATTTATAAAAAAAAATAATCTTTCAGATTCCATGATTTGTAACACGAATTTTGATTTTCATACAAAGCATTTCGAAACAGCAAGGCCGCTGTTGTATATTACTTACTTTTGGAAACTTTTCAGAACAATTTTTTCGGTATATATATATATATATATATATATATATATATCTAATATATATATATATATATATATATATATATATTATACTAATTAAATTGAAACACATTGTGTTTTTTAATTGTCGAATTTAGAATGTGAAATATGTACAATGAATTAGGTGTTTCATAATACACTGTATGGTTTTTAAAATGTACACAGTCCACAACATAAGAAGTAAAATTATCATATGGTTCAATACCTCTTCTTTCTGTATACGAAACATCTTAATATTTATTCACTATCAAATCATATTTATAGTTTTCTCATCAAAATTTGAGAATACTCTCTCAATCGAAAGTTTTGCACACTATTTTTGATTTAAAAAAGTGATCCATTTCATAGGTTTAATGACTATTTCATCGTAGGAATCTTTATTTAATAAAACTTTCATGCCATGTTAAAGAAGAACTAAATCCTTTAAATAAACGTAATATAACATCAACTAATATCTTTTAATCTAAATAATGTCTTAGATATTGAAAATTTCAAGTTTTCAAACATTTGTAGGGATAGAACGTCTAGCTATAATCTCGTCCTATAGACCATAATGTGAAGAAGAAAATAATGTTTCATCAGATTCAAATATGTTTGACTTTTTTATATAATGATTATGATGATAACAATATTTTGGTGTTCTAACCTGTGTTCTCGAGAAAGCTTTCTTAGTCTTGCATTTTTTTTTATCTTGAACATGATGATTGCATTTTTTATCTTCAAAATTTTTCTTGTCTTCTAATTTTTTATTTATTTATATTCGAATTAAATATAAAAATTAAATGTATTTAGAAAATTACTGTGTTTGTGTCTAATTTAATAAATTAATAATTTTCTGTTAGTATGTTTCCGGATTTTTAGTTAGTATGTTTCCGGCATTGAAAATTAATCACGAGTTAAAAATAAAATAATTTATTTGATGAATATTTTATAAAGAATTTCTAAATTTTAAAAGGAAAGTAATATCTTATTTAATAGTATAAATATATTAAATGAAACATTATAAATTGTTAAAACAAAAGTAAATAGTAAGAATATACTCTTTTATTCCAAAATAATATTTCTTCATTTGCTCACACCGTGATAATTGTAAAAGTGACAAACAAACACAAAACACATAGAAGGGTAAGCTAATGTATAAAAGAGTTATCTAATATCAAATAAATCATATCAAATATAACTAAGCATGGATAATATAGTGCACTTAAGATAGTCTTTACTGCTTTGAACAATCATAGTCAAAGGATTATTATCCTATCACAAATAAGGTTAATCTTCTCGCGTCTTAGGTCAACCAAACAATAAATTAGGATCTTCTGAAACTCTCACCACATAACTCATTCTACTTTATATGTGAGTGTGAATGGTTCTTGGAATATTAAGATACCCCTTATTGAATCCATACATTAATGCATACACTAAAGAAATGCGATCATGAAATTTATACGCGAGATCCTTGAAATTACGCTAAACACATACATCACCACATAATCTTCCCATGGGATTCTTGAAATTACGTCAAACACATATAATGCTCATATCCGTTAACAAGTTCATCTTCATCACAATTTCATACATCATTATTCACATGTATATTTATCCATAAATAATCACTCATTCCATAAACAACACTTAACACATAAGTTATATTGACTATTAAAGTCATGAAAACGAATATATTAATCAATAAAACCACCAAGAGCTCGTTAAAGAGAAAATAGAACTAACAATGAAATTGGAGCTCAACGGTGGTGCTTAGTGACAAAGTATTAGCAAAACTTGGCCTTAGCCGTACAACCTGTCGCTTAGTGCATTCTTAGCAAGGCAGGTGCTCAGCACTAGCTACCGCTCAACATTGTATCATATATCATAAAGTGTATCACTTAACACTGTATCATATATCATATATAAAAAAAAATATTTTTTTCTAGGGAAATTGGACTTGTTCAATTGATCAATTTCGTACTCATCTTTTAGTACTTTGGTTCAAAACAGTTTTACATACTATAAAGCTTGTACCAAATTGTTCAATTGCTCAAATTTCAATTATCTCATTCACACACCAAAGTAATCACAAATACTCATCCTATAGTTATCATTCAAATCATACCAGATCACATCAACCAAACACACGAAACCAAATTCATCAGAAACCAAATTTCATCCCCAAATGCAATTTAGTAGCAACATGCGAAACATCAAATTGCTAAAAACACACAACACAGATTAAGAGTAACTTCCTTTACTTGACAAAGCGGTTCAATATACCTAAACAACTATAAGAAATTCAAATTACCTCAAACCACACAAGATGTTCTATCTACACATATATACATCACAAGAAAGATCATACCATACCATCACGATCATTGATCTACATAGACTCAAAAAGACGATTAAAAAGAGATATATAAGCGGAAAAGGTTCACATGCATATAAAAACATAAGTAGACTAAGAAAATGGCTGAAAACTCAACTTACCAAAACAATGAAACTGATAGGTTTAAACTGAAAACGCGAAGATCACTTATACGGTATTAAGTCTTCAATCAGACTACTCATAAAGAAAAGTCAGAAAACTCTAGAAAAGTAACTTTTATAAAGATGATATGTTTTAAAATAATAAAACTCATTTATAAAACTTCCTATTTATATAAATACTTTTAATATTCAAATATTGAATTTCACTATTCTTAAAACATTATTAATTTTAAAAAATATATATTTTTTTAGCTATTAAAAGTTTTAAAATTTAAAACTAAAATTCACACCAAATGGAAATGATGAAACTGGTGATTTCAAAACAACGTACTCTCCTGTTTTTTTAAGTTTATTTTTTTAAGATATTAAATTATTGTAGTAATTATTTTTATAAATTTAATTAAGTTTTAAGTCTTTATTAACTTTTTTTTATTAAAAATTTTATACTTTTAATTGAATCTATGGCGTTTTCGTATTTGAGTGACATGTTTATTATTTTGTCACTATTTTATTACTTGATTGACCTTAAAAGAAATTTGTTATCAATACAAAATAAAATTAAAATAATAACAGTCTATTATCATTATCAATTATAATATTATTTATATTAATTACAAAATATTACTCTTACAACAAGTGAAAATAATATAATAAAATAATAGATAAAATAATTATGTACACTTAATTAACGAGAAAATAAGAAAAAACTTAATTATAAAGTATAAAAAATTTAAATAGCATCTTGACAAAAACAATTTAATAAAAATTCAATTAAAAATAAATCAAATTTATAAAACTTAAAATTTAATTAAGTCTTTTCTCTTTTTGCTATTTTCAATCCTTAATAACACTTTAAAACTGTTATAAAAGTATAAATACGTTATACTTTTTGCTAAGGTCATTAGTTTAATTTTGATTAAAAAATTCAAATTCACCACTTTCCTATTGTAGTGAATTAAATAATTATTAAAAACTGACAATAATTTTTGTAATCTACTTTATATCAATATATAGTTTATATATTTAAAAATATTTAGTAATGAAATTAGTTAAATATATAATATAATTTATGTATGTATAATTTGTTTAATATAAATAGTAGTTACCCAATATAAAATAAACAATTTTTGGCCTCTGAATGTTCCAGCTGGAACAAATATTTTAGTACACCTATATTCTCTCGCAACGCACCCTGTTCTTTCATTCTTCCTTCTCTTTTCAAGATTTTCGTACTCTGCATCTATCTGCTTTCTTTCGATCAGGCAAATTTTCGTTCTGAAATTTCTTTTTCTTTTTGGTCTTTCTCTCCGTTTTCTTTCCTTCTAATTCGTTGATTGTATTTATTGTTTCCTGATTTCGATATTTAGGGTTTCCCCTCGTCTCCGAGCTCGTTTCGTTCTCGAAGAATCGATCTGCGATAATGACTCATATCCTTTGCTATGTTCAAAATTTACTGCTAATTTTTTTTTTCGAATTCTCGTTGATTAACGATGGGGTTGACTTTCATTTAGGAAATCCGAGGAAAAAATGAAGCTCATCTCACGCTCCCATACCCATTTTTGTTGTTGGTCTTATATGTTTTTCTGGGATTAATAGTTTCGTTGATTTGGATCCGTGGGGAGGAACAGTTTTTTTTGTAATTTTACGTGTTTCTTTAAGTTTTAATTTGTTTTCTTTGCCACTATTCAAATGGGTATATGTGGTTTGGTTTTTGAAGCCTGGTTTGTGAATTTCTTTTGTTGTTTGCACTTAACTTTGAAGCTCACGCGGTAACCAGAGGGACCGTGATCGTGAAAGGGCTCAGTCTAGAACCGGTGCTAAAGGCAAGCAGACGAAAGCTGATGGGTTGACCCCTGAACAGCGCAGGGAAAGGTTGGGTTGATGTGATTCATCACAATACTTTGCGTTTTTAATATACCGGTTTTTCTTTTAGTTTTTAAATTAAATGTGCTTAACTTTTATCTTTGCGTGAAATCTTGTATTTCTTCATGCGCAGAGATGCAAAGGCGCTGCAGGAGAAGGCGGCAAAGAAAGCAGCACAGGAAGCAGGAGGCAATAATGCAGGTGGAAGCAAAAAATAGGCAATAATTCAATGAGTGGTTTGAGATTTGATGTGTTGTTTGTAGACATGGAATGTATTGAAATTTTATGTCGAATTATTTGTTGTGGAGTATGATGTGTTTAGTAATGTAATTTGGGATGAAGAACAAATAATCATTGCTTCTTTCAAAGGTGTTGACGCTGGGGGCTGAATCAATACCTGGTGTCTTTGTTTGGAATAATGGTATTTTGGCAATAATATTATATTCGCTCCTCTGTCTTGCGTTAGTCGCAATTGCTACTTTTGTTATGACTCGCTGTGTGCCAAATGCAGTTCTTTGAATCAGCAATGTTTAATTTGTAAGAAAATTGTTTTGTAAGTGATTGTGAAGATGAGAATTATTTCACTGCATGCTCTGATAACGGTTCCTTGTTTATATATTAGTGTTGGGATACATGCTTTTACTATTGATTCTAATGCATTAGAGATCATAAATTTTGGTGGGTCTCCTTCTCAATTAATGGGTCTCTCTCACTACTGTTGTTTTGAATAAAATTTAACCAATAGTTAGGTGTGTATTAGAAAGTGAATTTTGCAAACACACCTTTTGAGTAGCCTCCGTTTTGGGAGAATATTTGACAGTGTTTTTAATTAAAGATCAGAATTGAGGATTAATAAGGACGTTTTTGGTACCTAAGGGGTAGAAATGACGCATTGAGAAAACCCAAGAGCTTTCCTTTAGTGGGAATCCTGGAGCGGTATTTGGCTTTGAAATGAATCCACTCCCAGGGGTCTGTCATAATCTTTAAACCTTTTAACAGATTTTGGAGATGTTTTATTGTTTTGTTCACATATTTTATTGGTGAACATGTGAGATCTCTATATTGATTAGGACAAAATTATAAGTTTCATAAATACTTTTGGTGATGTTCTCCTTCAAAATGAGAGTTTTATCTCCATAATCTGCATAATAGGAGGTTATTCGATTCTGATTAAAGCATCAAAAGCTCATAAGGAAGTGCAGTGAGTTTTGTTTGATAAATAATTGAGATGGTGCAATTGGTGTTTTTGAGGTAGAAACAACACTGTTTTATGTTGAAAATACGTGAAAGATCGATAACTTTGCCGCAGAAAGATGGACGTGTTCTCTTGTCTGGAATCTTGTTCAATTTAATGGCTTGATTTGCCTGATGTTTTTTCAGCCTGTAATTCCAAGAATCTGTTATTTGAGGAAACAAATTGAATCTTGCTCGTCAATAGAACATTAAATGTTATTAAGATTTTCTCAAATATTAGCTGAAAACGTTTACGAATCTGCTTAGTGACTGAATTTAGGATCCAGAAAATAGAAGCTCTTAGGCTTTGTTCACTTGAATGGATTTGAAGGAGAGTGATTGAATGAATTTGAGAGGATTTAAAGGTAAATTTTTTATTATTTATTTGAGTAGATTTTAAGGTAAGTAAGAGTGGATTTGGAAGTAAAGTTTGTGAAAATTAGGGTAGGATTTAATTGATGTGACAGATTAAAAAAATTTACTTTCAAATTCACTTTCACTTATATCTAAATTCATTCAAATAAACAACAAAAAAAATTTATCTTCAAATCTATTTAATCACTCTTCTCCAAATCCATTCAAATGAATAAAATGTATTAAAATCCATTCAAATGAATAAAATTTATTAAATTTTAGTTATAGGCGTGTGTGAAGGAATTATTAACGTTGTGTTTACAACATCTAAAAAAGGTTAAAGATCAATTTATTTGAATTAAAGGAAGTGACTATTTTTGGTAAACAAAGTTATTTCCCATTAATTATTTGCGCTTTTAGTACGATATTAAGTATATTACTAGAAATTTGGAAAAGATTCTAGAGATTTCTCTAAAATTATTATTTATTTTGTTAGGGTGGGTGCTGTAATATTTCAAATTAATTAAATAAATACGGATTTTTTTTTCAAATTAATTTTTTTAAGTTGGTATTAGATCTTGTAAATTTGAGAGTCTGTTTGCATATTTCATTTTTACCTTCTTAGCTATGGTTCTTTTTAAGGTTGTCGGAAATGCACTTATTTTTCTTTTATGTGTTGTCTTAAGTGCACTTGACCTGTGATTCTGTCACTATTGTCCCTAGTTACTCCCATTCACTAGAGCCATGCCACTGCAGTCGTGGGAGTTGTTGGAGCTGTTCAAGTTTTTGTTGGAGCCATCGCTTGAGCTTATGCTCGCGTGTTGCCAGTACTATTGCTAATGCCTCCTTTTTGTCTTGTCATTTTTTAGTTAGAAGGGGAGTTAAGGAATCTCTATCATTTATTTTAGCATGATAACTTCAAAATCTAAAAATCCTGGGAAGATTTCTTCATGCTCTTCAATTGAAGAAAGAATGTCCACACCATGTGCTAAAATTAAATGTCTAAAATCTATTAGTAAGTTACATTTTGATTCTTGCTCTCAAACCATGACTAATAATAACTTCAATTTCTCTTTTAATTTATGTAAGAATTTTTGAATTCTAAAATCTAGTACAACAACCTATATATGATTCCTCGTTCATCTCTTTTAATATTACATGTTTTCTTTTTTATACTTATATTACAGTTGTTAATGAAACTCATATCTCAATAACTATGATAATGTTTCTCTTTTATCAACCCTTAGCCTTAAATATGTCCTTTTTTGTTACCAAACTTTTTAATAATCTTATTTCCGTTCAAAACTTATCCATAACCTAAATTATTCTATAACTTTCTTTTCCACTCATTAATGATGGAAACTTTAACAACTTGGTATCTAAGGATAGTATTAATACACAACCAGATACATCTTGTCTATAGTCTTGTACTACTTTTGAGTATTTTAAATTTGGTTTCTTTATTGTTGTTTATGATATTTATCCTTTTTTTCTTCTGAAGTCAACGCTCCATTTCTTATTTTCTTTTTTTTTTAGTAATTTAAATGTGATATATATAAACTTGTAAAGCATTATTAGGCCAGATGTCTTCTTAGTAATACAAAGAGTTCATCATTTTGATATAGTTCATTATCATATTTGAAGGTTTGCATCAAACTTTAGTATATATAGTGCTAAATGGTTTGTAACTTTTACTAATAACTCTAACCATCTTATATCTTGATTTTTCTCATAAAAGAAGAATTTGATTTTTTTACCCTATTTGTTAAATCCTTCTATATGATAAAATCACAATTTAGAAAGTTTAGTAATCCATTTTCAATTAGTTCCCAACGTATCAACACTGAAATAAATTCTCATTTTTGTAAATCAGTAAACATAATTTTGTCCTAAAAAAAGAAGGTGAGGGTAGAGAATTGGATGTCTTTCTTCTTATAGATTTTTTTTTTTTACTTGTATAAGAACTTCTAACTGGTGTGGGCTCTTCTAGATTTTGGAATGTCATAGTTATGAGTAAAAATTCAAATTTTAAAACATAATATTATTGCGGAAATCCAAATTTCATAAGTCTTTACAATCAACCAAAAATAAAGGTTTAATATCTATTTTGGTTCCTCGAATGAGGACATTTGTTTAAAGTGGTCCTACCTTTCAAAAAAAGTTTAAAAATGTCTCAATTTGTGTAAAAACGGTTCAAGTTAACTCTTTTTGCTTACGACGTTAAAAATTTAATAGTGCAGTTGTCCCCTGGCCAAAACTGAATAAGGTGTCGAGTTAGTGATTTTGTGGCACGCTGATTCAAGGGACCAAAATGCCAGATGGTAGTACCCTTCCCACCCAAATTAGGGTTCACGAAAAACGCTTTCTCCTTCTCAAACCAGGGTTTTCGACCCTATCTACAGTGGCTACTAGTTCTTCCATTGCATGAAGGAGCTCGCTGTGGTGTGATTAAAGGAGACTTCTATGTTGTGGTTCCTTCTTTGTTTGAGGTCTGAAGATTGATGGAGATGATGTTTGTGTTTCTTTTGTGATAAAGAAGATGATGCTGCGAAGAAGGAGATGTTTATTGGTCATAGTGGTTCTGCAATTCGGAATGCTATTTAGGTCAGGATTTTCGAAGGTGATGGAGGAGATGAACTCGCCATTGCGGCGATATTTAGGTTAGGATTTTCGAATGTTGGCCGTGGAGGTTCGAATTAGGCGATTTGGTTTCTGGGCTTTTCTGATTCCAGATGCAGGTTTTGAATCGAAGGAGAAGGAACTCACGATTAGGGTTCGAAGGGGTGAATCATGATTTTGTTTTAGGATTTTTCTGTAGGCATCGTCGCGATTGAAGGAGCATGGTTGAGGTGGAGGCAAGGCACGATTTAGGGTTTCATGTATTTCTGATTTTGTGCAGGTCGTCATGGCTGTTGAAGGTGCATAGTGAAGATTGATGGTGGTTCTGCAATTCGGAATGAAGATGGTGCGATGTTCGCGCATGGAGGTTGATGGTGTGATGGCTATGGAGTTTTGATTGCTCGAGAAGATGAACCTGTGTTGACGCTAATGGCAACATGGTGGCCGTGTGGTGGTGCTTTGCACGAACCCTAACCCTTTCCGCATAAGTTGCCAAGTCAGGCGACCTCAACGTAAAACACAATCACTAACTGGACACCACATTCAGTTTTGGCCAAGGAGGCAACTGCACCGTTAGATTTTTAACAACGTAAAGAAAAAAGGACTAACTTGAATCGTTTTTACAATAATTGGGACATTTTTAAACTTTTTTTTAAAAGGTAGGACCATTTTGAACAAACGTCCTCATTCGAGGAACTGAAATAGGTATTAAGCCAAAAATAAATCATAATTCCAATTGATTATTGATGAATCACTATTTTGTACTATTCACTTAGCTTTCCACACCAAATTGTGTTAGTGAATTGTGTTTAATTCTCCATTATTGTCTCATTTTCACTATTTGGGCTTAATTGGGCTATTAATTCTTATTTTTATTAATCTGAATTATTTGAGTTTAATTATTACAATTATTATTTGTAGGACAATTTTGGAAACATATTTTGGGATAACAAGAGTGTGGTCACTTCAATAATTGTGTCTAATTTCATTTTATAATTTTAATTATTTTAGTTTTGGGTCAAACTTTATGACTTTGGACCCATTTTTGGTCAACATTTAGGAGAAGCCCATTAGAAGGAAATTTTTGTAATTTGGGATCTATAAACCCCAAAATCAGATTTCACTTTCCTCTTCTCCCCTCATTCACGTTTTTTTCTTGGGAGGTTTTGAAGCTTGGTTCACGTTTTCCAGCCCCCCTCCCTTTGGGGGTTTAGGTTTCATTTTCTTTTCCCTTTCCTTTATCTATT